GATTGCAAGGCCTCAAAGCTACATTACTCCCTTTCCCTTGTGGGGAAAAAAAAAAAGATCATTTTTTTACATTTCCTTCCTTTAAATGGGAGGGGAGACCTTCAGGCGTGGGCAGGAAAGGCTGTAGTGGCTAAGCCTGGACTCAGAGAGCCTACTGCCAGATAAATTCTGGCTGAGTGAGGCTTCTCACCTGAGCTGCACCTGCAAAACTCTGCGTGTGTGTCTTTCTCCTCATCCTTGTTGCAGGAATTCAACCTTATTGATAGAAGAGAACTTGCACCACTTCAAGAACTGATTGAAAAACTCACCTCGAAGGACAGATAAAAGGAAGAGGACTTCTTGAAGTCACTTGTTTCTTTAAGCAAGCGTGTGGTATTTGTTTGTTGTTTTTTTTTTTTTGTTCATTTGATTTTTTTTTTAAAAAAAGAAAACAAAAACAAGCCCCTGTGCTGTTACCAGTGACAGCCGAGATCTACTTTCTGTGCTTTTACTAGGGGAAATCTTTTCTCTGTTAGTGACACGTGGTAAATAGCTTTTTTTTTTTTTTTTTTTTTTAATTTTTATTTTATTGTTACTCATTGTGGAATTTCTAGCAGGTGCTGAGTGTTAAAGGAAACGTGCTTGGTTGGGGGATTGACTCTGCTGGTGGATGGGTTCTTGTGTTGTGTCAGTGGTAGCCCATTCTCATGAAGTCCCTAAAAGACTTGCTTACATTCTCTAAGTGCCTTGGCAGACTCACTTCTGAGGTGCAAAGCACATACAATACTGAACATTGCTGGAAACAGAAAATATGTACTAACACCCAGACACTTACTGATACTTGTTCTAGAAAAATATATATATATGCTTACACTAAAAAAAAAAAAAAGCCATAACTTGCTGAAATCAATGATCTCCAGCTTTTAATACAAATACTTGTCTTATTTTTTTAGAGATGAATATGGAATTTTTCAAAACTAGATAATTTCTTACAGAGAAAAGCGAAGTTCTGGTCGCTGCAGCGGAACAGCCAAGGTGGTGTCAAAATCACACACAGACCTCGTGCTGAGCAAGTACCTCCATGTCTGTTGCCATGGAACTTCTCCTGGTTGCTTTTGCTTTTTCAACAGGGAAGCACCAGTTGGGTCACTCAGCTTTTTGTTACGCTCCCGAGCAGTTGCCAAACAAACATTCAGTTTGCACAAACGCAGTTAGGGAAGAAACATCTGTCATAAAAAGGGCTGAGTTCATGGAGCACTTTGGAGTTACATTAGCATAGAATCCCTGCTGCTGAGTACAGATGAGGTATTTCAGAAGAAAAACGTGTAAAAGTGAGGCTTTGCTTGGAGATACCAGTGCAGTAATTCACATTTTTGGCATGCTCCTGCCCTGGGAGGGTTTTGTTCTTGTCGTTGCCGCAGTTTTTTTGCTTTTTTCTAGCCAGTTATAGAAATCCAGAGGCATCTGCTGCAGTTCAGCCAATCAGAATTGGAATGTACTAAGGAAAAAAAAATCTTCAGTGGATAGTGTATTTTTTGTATTTAATATCTGGCAGTAGAGAGACTTTGAGTAGCTTCTAGGCACGTAATAAAAGCTTGGAGATCATGATTTGCCCGACAGCTGTATGAACACATTGTTTAATTACACAACACTTGAAAATAACACCATTGAAGGTATGTTTGCAGTGGTGGGGATTTAGTATCCCCGTGCTGTTTCTATTTGCAGCTTTTCATTGTGTTTTTTTTGTTTTCGCTTGTAAAAGCTGTGGGACCAGAAGTTGGGGTGTGTTTACGCTCTCGAAGTCAGGGCACATGGAAATGCCACACAAAATGGAATCTGGATCAGGTGAATGTGTTTATAAAATAGTGCATTTATGGGGGGAAAAAGGGGGGACACCCCCTCGCCTCCCAAACGAACCCCAGAGAAACAAACCCCGACGGACTCTGAGGGACCCCGAGCCCCTGGAGACAGGAACTTCCAGCTTTGTGGTCATTGGGAGCGGGAAGTGCCGGCGGGGTTAAACCAGGCCATGCTGCCAGTGCTGCCTGAGGCCTTCCAGTCTGACAGGGTCAGAAATCCCATGGTTTGGGGTGGTTTGCAGCTCTCTTGGACCTCATGAGGGATTCGGGTGGTGCCTTGAGGAGGGGGCACCTGCCTCGAGCTGGGAAGAGGCAGGCAGCCGAATCCTTGGAGCTCAGCCACCCCGGCAGTGCTGACAGTGCTCAGGTGATGGATCTGGGATGTCTTGTCCAAGTCTTTCAAGTCAGGGATACGAGGTAACCGTGCAAAGAGGAAACAAACCCACTGCGTTGTGCTGGTGCCGGGAGCTGAGGGCAGAGAACGGGTTCCAAGGCCTGTCTGCAAGTATCCACTTTCTTTTCCCGCTTACTATGCAATGTAGAGCTTTGAACTTCTGCTTTTCCTTGGAGATACTGAGGAGCACTGTCCTTACTCAGTCCTTAGGACCTGAACCCTGTCCCCATGTCCCTGGCCCTCAGTTAACAGGTAAGGACACCTATTTGCTGCTATGGACTCAACTCACCTTTCAGATTGTTCCTTTCTGTTTCCTGCCCCCGCCCCCTTTCTCCCGGATCACCAGACACAGTTTTACTACCAACACCTCCTTTTGGGATAGTTGTTTGTTCCTTGCTCCCCCCTGCCTACCTGCCAGAGTGCAGTTACTGTACATAACCCCTCTTTTAGTTGGATTATTTAAGAAGCTGCAGCACAAACAGAGATTCCTTGCTTTTTTTTTCCCCACTAAAATATTCCCTTTTACACCGAATCTTGTTTCCTTCACTGCTGATAGCAGTTGTCTCTTTTCCAACCTGCACTCCTAAAACCACTGGCAGTTTCATGGGATGCCTGTTGTCTTTCCCTGGATATCGTTTCTTTTAACATGAGACTAACATTGGTGATTTTCAGTGTTAAACCTTCTTATTTCCCTGCTTTTCTTACAGTTTCCCCTTGCCAGGTTCAGTTTGCAGCCTGTAGGAAAATATCCAAATAAGTTTGGGTTTTTTTGTTTTGGGTTTTTTTTTTGTTTTGTTGTTGTTGTTGGAAGAACCAATTCCCTAAATTGTTCATAGAGTAATGTATTTTTAGGGGAGATTAATTTTTTATAGCCACTAAACTATACTCATTATTTTTGTACGTTTGCAACTTGGGACATTTTTCCGAGCTGTGTCGCGGAGGGAACACTTATTTTCATGGCTGTTTGACTACTTGGGAATGCTGTGGTTGTGTTGTGTGGAGGCACATCACCTCGATGTGCAGTGGAAGAGAGAGAAGGATGCAATAAAGATGAGTGAGGTTTCAATAAAAGGCCATTTCTGAAGGCAAAGAAAAAAAAAATAGTATATTCCGAAAGCGACACTGACCTTTCCTCCTTTAAAATCCTAAAATATATGGGAGAAAATACAGTGTAAAGTAAAAAAAAAAAAATGCAAGGAGAGAACCCTTACTGTGAGCTAACTGTGCCAATACCGCTTCAGTTTGTAGTCACTGATGGAGACTTTAGTTTTAAAGGAAAACAGCTTTTGATGTAAAAAAAAAAAAAAAAAAAAAGCTGAATGTCTGAAAATCCGCACCGTGTTTATTTGAGAGTTGTAAATAATGTATACAGATGGTTGTATGTGATGGGACAAAATATTTAAATCCTAGGGTTTTTTGTTTTTTGTTTTTTTTTTTTCCAATAAGAAACCGAAGGCTGTTTATAAGAGAAAATAAATAGCTATGTTTGACCATGACTGTCTTTATTTCCTTCTTGGACTTGTTTCTGAAGGATCTCCTACTCTCAAATAGATTTATTTTTTTCCCCCCTGTATATTGTGAACATCTGCCCATGACACACCCGAGGATGTCACCAGGTTACCGATGTCACTTGTGGTACAGACTCTGCCCTTGGCCCTGCCCAGTAGCACAGGTGCCTTTTTATTTTGGGGAGCTCTTCTTTCTCCTCAGAGCCTCCCGTGACCCCAACAGCTTCAAGGCTCCAGATTTCCCACCTCCCATCCCCATCTGGCTCTGCCCCGTGGTAAGTCCCCTCTCATGTGTGCTTTGTGGAAATGGTGGTGAAAAAACTGGATTTTGCCACAGTTTTTCAGGACAGATCTTGGGTCAAGGCTGCCCCACTGCCTGTGCCCAATCCGTAGATCTGAGGGGTTTTCCCTGTTTAACTCCATCCTGCAAGAATCAAAAGGGTCCTGTAGTGGGATGGTATTATGGGAAACATGGGTTTGTTGGTGGCTGTTAGGGGGGTTTAGGGGTTTTGTAGAATCTTAGAATTCCAGAATGGTTTGGGTTGGAAGGGACCTTCAAGATCACCTCATTCCAATCCCCTGCTGTGGGCAGGGACAGCTTCCACTAGCCCAGGTTGCTCCAGGCCCCATCCAACCTGGCCCTGGACGCTGCCAGGGATGGGGCAGCCACAGCTTCTCTGGGCAACCTGTGCCAGGGCCTCACTGCCCTCACAGGGAAGGGTTTCTTCCTAAAGTAAAAAATCCCTTCCTAAAGTAATTTCCTCCGTAAACTCAAGAACTCCTTCCTAAACCTAAGAATTTCTTCCTAGTTGTTTTCAGCAACGACCCTCTCAATTCAAGTGCCGGTGCTCTCCTTTTAAAAACTCAGCCACACTTCTAAGGTATTCCTGGAGCATTTTTTACACCTGCCCGGCGGGGGGAGGGGGCAGGTTCCTTTCCCTCCCTTCCCTGTTTGTTTTGCCCCGTGTGTCGGGACGAAAGGGAGCCGCTGAGAACGGGAGCAGCTCGTGACGGGGAGTCATCGATGCGCTCCGCGTGCCGCTGCTCTTGCCTGGCTCGGTGGGGCGGGGCGGACGGGCCGGCGGTGGGGTCGACCGCGGCGCGCGCGCGCGTGACGTCACGGGCCTCCCCGGCGGGCCCGCCGCTGCCGCGCGCCAAATTTAAAGGCGCGCGCGCGGGCAGGCGCGGGTCGGTCTCGCGCCCCTCCCACCCCCTCGCGCCCCCTCGGGCGGGTCTCGCGCTCACGCCCCCCCCCCCCCCCCCTTTCCCCTCCCCTCAGGTGCCCTCGCGCCCCCCTCGGGCCGCCATGGCCACCCCGCCCAAGCGCGGGCGGCACGACCGCCGCGTCAAGAAGGTCGCCGTGGAGGGCAACATCGGTGAGTCGGGGCCGTCACCGCCTTCGCGGGGACCGGGGGGGGGGGGGGGGAAAGGAGGGGAAGAGGTGGCTCTTGCGGCGCTCGGGGGGGTTCGGACGTGGCTGGGGGCGGCACAGCTCCGCCGACCCCACGCTCGCCTCTCGCTCCCCTCTCTCCCCCTTCTGCCGGGGCTCTTCCCGCCCTGGCGGGGCGGGGTGGGGCGGCGGGGGTGCTTCCACAGGGTTTTCCTGGCCGTTTCCTCGCAAAAAAAACTCCCTCTTTTAGTCAGGTCGGGAGGCACAAACAAGCCTCACAAGCGTGAGGTCGGAGACTTCACCGCGGCGCCGTAAGAACTCTACGAAAGTGACGCGATTTGCGATTTTATTTACAGTTTGTAACTCATTCACCTGTTTGGCGTTGACGTGTTTGTTTTTTTTTTTCCCGCACTTTTCCTGCTCGTGGCGTAAAACTCCCGGAGTCACAGAATCTCCCGAGCCGGGGAAGGGTCCCACGGGCATCACCAAGTCCTGGCCCTGCGCGGGACACCCCCAAAATCCCACCAGAGAGCATTGTCCAAACCCGTGCAGGTGCAGAGAGAGAACAACCCTGTTGCTCCGTTAATTGATGATCTGTGGAACACGATGGGCTCTGCTTCAAGTCCAAAGTGCTCGGGCACGGGAGAGTGATTTGTGGGGATGGAAAGCGGAGTTGTGCAGTGGTTAAATAACACCACTGTGGGTGGTTTCTCACTGACAAATCTTCCTGAATGCTTTTCCTACAGCTGCAGGGAAATCCACCTTTGTGACTATTCTGAAGCAAGCCAATGAGGAGTGGGAAGTGGTTCCTGAGCCCATAGCTAGATGGTGCAATGTCCAGCAAAACTCTGGAAATGATTGTGAGGTAAAAGAGAAAAAAAACCCCAAATGCTCCTCTAATTTCAGAAGTCCAGTATATCCAATCGACTGTTTTTCTGATAGCAACACTTCTGCCGATTCCTTTCACAGTGTTTGAGTTCCTCTTTTCTAGTTTGTTTGGTGTATTATGGAATAAATGTTACTCAACGTCAGGATGCAAGTTCTAAAAGCTCTAAAAGCCTTTTTTGCTGTATCAAAGCAAGGGATGGGAAAAAGTGAGGCAGTTACTTGTAGCAACTCTGAACCATCCAGGTGAGTGCAGAGGGTTGTTCCAGGTGTGTGAAGGTGTCCTCTGAAATATCTAGGAAATAATGAACCACTGCCAAATGGTTTATGGTGGTGTTTTTTTCTCCCAGCTACCCGTAATTCCACTGGCAATCCAGCTGCTGCCTGGTGGCCACAGTCTGCTGTGCAAGTGGCTTTTGAGGGGCTTCCTTTTGATTTGGCAAAAATACAGTGTATTTTGGTAAAACGAGTGTCAACGGGGATGTGTTGCTCCTGGCTTCTCCTCAGCTGCCTTCTCTCTGCTTATTTCCCCTCTGAATCCAGGAGCTGAGCACGTCCCAGAAGAACGGTGGGAACGTGCTGCGGATGATGTATGAGAAGCCGGAGAGGTGGGCTTTCACCTTCCAGACCTACGCCTGTCTCAGCAGGATCCGGGCTCAGCTCAGCGCCCTCGAGGGCAGACTCCAGGACGTGGAGAATCCTGTGGTGTTCTTCGAGCGCTCTGTCTACAGCGACAGGTGTGTGGGGCCCGAGTCCTCGGGGGGAAGATCGCAGTTCTCCCAAGTAAAATCACAGGACAGTTGGGGTGGAAATGTGTCCAGGTGGGTTTTGGAACGTCTCCAGAGAGGGAGACAGAGTCGCAGAATCAGTCAAGGTTGGAAAAGACCTCTGAGGTTATCAAGCCCAACCTATGACCCTTGTCAACTAGACCATGGCACTGAGTGCCATGTCCACTCTTTCCTGCACACTCCCCCTGGGCAGCCTGTTCCAGTGCTCTACCGCCCTCCGTGGAAAGTTCTTCCTCATCTTTTGTTTTATGGCCAATAAAAAATACACAAGTAAATGCCCTGTACTGCATTTCTGGGTTCAGAAAGTGGGATTTGGTAACTGAATCCCATCCCGTAGTTCTTAGGAGTTCCCTTTGCTCTAAGATGCTGACAATAAACAGTGTACAAACCAGTTGTTTCTTGGGTTATTCCTGGACACCTGAGCTGTAAATGTTCCCGGTCTGTGTGGACACAGTTACAGGAGGAGGATACCAGCTGTTTCGTTCCACTCCAAGTGTACATCAGGGATGCTCCAGATTTGCTACTCAGCTTCTTCTCTAGTTACTTCAGGCAAACCAAGGATTCCTGTGTCCAAGCCACTTTGCGTTTCCATCGCTGTTCTGTGTTCCCAGGTACATCTTTGCAGCTAATTTATACGAGTCTGATTGCATGAACGAGACTGAGTGGACTATTTACCAAGACTGGCACAACTGGATGAATGAGCAGTTTGGTTCAAGGCTGGCGCTGGATGGGATCATTTATCTCAGAGCCACTCCTGAGGTGAGGGATACGAGTGTGTGACTGCACAGAGAACGAGAGCCCGTGTTCTGTGCCTTGCCCCTCAAGGGTAGAGTCCAGCTCAGGCTGCAGTGTTGCCCTGAACACTGTAATACTTGAGCTGTGACTAAGTCTGGTAATACTTTAAAAAAAAAGTTCTTTCAAGCGCAGCCTGTGTATTTTAAAATCAACTGTGATGATAACGATCCTCTGATTATAAAAAAGAACACGTGACAACAGCAAACCAGAAAACACCACTGGAACAAACCAAGCAACCCCAGGAAAGGACAAAATAGCTCTAGGAATAGCTGTTTTGCAGGGAGTATAGCTGTACAGGGAAAAGAACCATTTAGTAATTAACCAGTCACAGCTGGTTTGGGGGGTGGGCTATGAAGCCCCTGCACCTGGGGCAGTGGAGCTAAGCCAGGTGAAAGCACCTCCTGTGTGTGAGGCCTTATGACTATGCTTTGATCTTTGGGCATCTGGTGTTTGTTTAGAAGGAGGGAACGCCATCATGAATATCTCTCTGGAGTATGAAACCTGCATGAACAGGAGAAAATGTGAGTTTAGAAGAGCTCTAGTTAACCTACAGATCACGTCCATATTCCCTTGCTTCCAGTTTCCATGCTTTCAGCTTTGTTATGGTTGTAAACACTCCACAGTGTAGCACACTGGAGTAACTCTGGGGGCTTTTTTGTTTTTCTGTTTAAGAAAAGAACATGTATTTAAATTACAAAGTACAATACTTAAACAGTTTTGGCTTGTCGTTGATGCTTTGGGTGTGCTCGGGATGGGAACAAATGATTTACTGCATTGGAAAACAGTTCCTAAGAGCCAGAAATACACGGTGAGATTTGGAAATGCCTGTCTGTAATGTCAGATGGATATTTCTGTGCTCTTGGCATGCAGTGCACCAGCTTATTTATTTTTATTATCTTTTGCCTTTAGAAATGCTTGAATAGGATTTTCGTGCGAGGAAGAGACGAGGAACAAGAAATCCCCATTGAGTATCTGGAGAAGCTTCACTACAAACACGAAAGCTGGCTCCAGCACAGGACACTGCGGTAGGGTTTGTTGAATGGTTCCTTGAGGATGGATAAATCTTTGTAAGGGTGTTCCATAATGCTTTTTCCACCAGTGAAACTCCAGCTTTTCTTATGGTTTGTAAAGCTAAACTCCAGGAACATTTCTATAATATTTCTGTCGGTGCTAATGTATCCCAGGGGCCACGCTGTAAATTCAGAACTCCTGGCTGTAATTTAGAGATGCAGTTCTTTCCGTGCGTTTCTCAACCATGGAAATGCTGGCAGGGACTTGGATGCTGTCTGCTCTATGTTCAGCTACTAATATTTGCTTTGTTCCTCTCCCAATACAGAACAGATTTTGACTATCTGCAGGAAATTCCAATTTTGACGCTAGATGTTAATGAAGATTTCAAAGGCAAAAAGGACAGATACGACCACATGATCGAAAAGGTAAAATTTCACAAATGATTTAGGTTACTGTAATTACACTTCACTGTCCAATCATCCTTCTAAAATATTAGAGTCATGGAGTTACATGCAGGTAAGGAACAGTCTTGTGGCCTGCTGCAAAGCTTATTTTAAATCCAGGCCAAACCTCCAGCATTTAACTGCGCAGGTGTTTGGTATTTGAATCCCTTTGGGATTCCAGCGAGGACAACTTGCCTTTTATCTGAGCAGTTGCAATGACTTACAGACCTCAGCAGTGGGACACACACTGCCTTCTGCTCTGTGGAAATAAACTGTTACCTCACAAGCAAAGCAGCTTTTGGTCCTTTGATCTCTGTTGATCCACCCCAAAGTGGAACTGTTCACCTGATTAAAACCAGTCTTCCTGGTCGGGCTTGTTAATTGATGGAATGACAGGACATGGCAGCTGTGGGGGGCGCCTGCTTCCCACTGCACAGGATGAGATGAGGCTCAGGAGACTAAATACGGATTTTGGAGGAGTTTACTCTGATGTAGCTGGCTGGTTATCTGGGAATAGCCTAAGCCCTGTGTGGGCCCTTTTTTTTTTGGCATTTCCGAAGTGGAGCCCCAGAACTGCTGCACTTGATGAGCTGTGCTTTGGGCTTTAGTGTGTGCTGATGTCCCACAGAAACCCAGAGCCTGTGTGCTTCCTTGCCTCATCTGGAAACTCTGCCTGGTGTGTAAATGCAGACAAGGTTCTCCAAGTGGGATTGCTGGTGCCACTCTCTAAAGTGGAGGGTGGCTTTCTAGTGATTCCTTTTAAGTTGCAGTCTTGGCACAGTTATGTGTTCCCTTCTCTACAGGAAGGGATTTGACCTCTTTTTTTTATCCCATGTCCATGAGCCCTGACCTGGGAAGGGAAGGGTCACAGTTGGAGAGTGTGGTCCAAGATCTGTTTCCATTTCTCATCAGGAATTTGGACAAAACGTTTACAGATGGGCTCTGTGTAGGAGAGCCTCTGCCAGAAGAGTAACACTGGTTCTCTAGTAACTGGTCTATTCCTTTCCATGGAGAAGCCTGGCTGGAGTGGGCAGAAAGGAGAATGCCCCCAGTTCAGGCTGTATCACAGCCTAGTTGCTAGGATGCTCCTGGCACTTAAAGGCAGCAGCTGTGAGCCTGGTGTTGATCTGCAGTATCGTTTTTTTCCCAAGCACTGTGGTTTCAGTAGGTGTTGCTTTATTATTTCTTTGCCAGCCTCATTCCAGGGAACATCCTGAGCAGGTGCCCTGAGTTGTTCCCTGGCATTAAATCCCAACGGTGTCCTGGCAGTGGGTGTAACTCGGTGGTTTCCAAATGACAGCTCTTTTGAGGTGGTCATTATCCTCCTCGTGTTTGGGCTACACCTGCTTTTAAAGTAACTCCTTTGTGACTGTGGGCTGCAGTTCGGGACCGTGGGAGGAGTGAGCATCATTGCAGTGTGTCTCTCCCTGCATCTGCTAAATTACAGGTACCGTGTCTGGGAATGTTCTTGATGGACAGGTAATGGCATGGCCAAGCCCAAGATCCTTTTTCCCTGTTTCTTTAGGTTGTGGTAAAGCATAAAGCACTGGAGAGGTAAACAGAGTTGCTGTCTATTTCTGTTGATACACACTTGGTGTGATTGACAATATTTGTTTCTTTTTGCAGGTCAAAGAATTTTTGAGCACATTGTAATCCTCTTTGAAGTGCAGACAGAGCCAAACCATTCCAAACATCTGTGCGATCAAAGTCTCAAGTGCAGCTTCTGCTTTTATAGAAGGGCCTCTGGAGAGGCAGGACTCAGTCCTGGTGATTTGACTGTGAGGAACAAATAAACTTTGTGAATAGGGAAATTACTAAATAAATCACTATGTCTGTTCAGTATTGTGTTAAGTAACACACACAGATTCTGAAGAGACAAGGATTCTGAGCGTTCCCAAATATTGCACCAGTTTTTGATCAGACTGATGAGTTCTAGAGTATTTTATAGATTTTTTTAAATTAATTTTTTATCCAGTTGCTATTTAATTTTTGAGAAGGTACTGGTTTTTTAGATCTCTTCGATGTTTTTTAGCGGCATTGATTAGTGATGGATGTCTTGTTCTGAGGAAGGAAAAAGTGAAAACCGTTTTTGCTGCTAAGGGAATTGCAATGTAACCTGGAGTTTTATATTTTAAGGTACCAAAAAATGTCATCTGATGATTTTGGTAGATGAAGTTCTTCACAGAATACATGAATTAAAGGCAAATAAGGCTGAAATTCTGTAGCTGTCAAATGAGATTTTATATTTGTTTTCAATATGCACTGCCAACTAGGATATTCAGAGGCTTTCTGTTCTCTAGCATGTTTGTTTGTTGGGTTTTTACCTTTTTTTTTAAAGCTTTTATTAAAACAGAGCTGTTTTTGCTGTTTGTAAGTCCTCTTCTCCTGGAGAGGAATATGTTTGCTTGCTGGGTACCGTAATAGGAAGAAGAACATTTTCCAAATGGCCTCCATCTGTATATGATGTGTTTAGAAACCATCCCATGATCGCATTTGGGATGTCAGAGGTGGCTTCCTGCCTTTGTTCCAGCTGCTCCACGTGTTCCCTGGGCCTTTCTGGGTACTTATTCCAGATCCTGCACTACTTGAAGTAGGCTGTCCTGTCTCAACTGCTTCGAGTCAGAAGGGGACACCTGTGTGGAGTGGCTGCTGCTCCTTCTTGTACTGACTGAGCCTCTTGTTGCAGGTGCAGAAAACACAGACTTGTCAGGGTGCACATCTCAAGAGATGGGTTTTATGAGCTGCTTTGTTCTGCTTTAAAAGTTTCTGAGTGCACAGTTGGCTTTTGAAGGCAAAACTGTATTGCAAAGCATTTTATTGTCTACCTTGGTGCTGCTGTTACCTGCTCGTTGGGGATGAGATTTCTTCCTTTGTGGCTGCAATTGTGCTGGCATTCTCTAACCATTGGCTGAAAAATAAAAGTGGTTGGAAAGACTTTTTCAGTGCCTAATACTGTTGGGTCTCTTGTCTCATAAAAGAAGTAATATTGTGGATTGCTGGTACGTAATACTGGTACAATGGATGACCTGAAGGTTGTGGATTCTTGGTGAATTTGGTGTAAAAAGTTATCTAAGGTTTCTGAGAAGCTGACTGGCTTCAATTTTTTTTTTTTTTTCATGTGTGGGAAATGAACTTATGGGATAGAGACACAGGATTACACAAACTGCATCATATGTGTAACAGTGCTCAGTACAAGTGTGTTGTATAACATTCATGTTGTAGTGGAAAGCAGAAGGAGTCTGGCAGAAAATCTTTTGTGAGGCTTGATGGTTGCCCAGTGAAAGGAAAGATTTTAAGATCTTTGCTCCAGAAAGGAAGTGAAGTGGAATGGATGAAGATTCAGTTCAGATTTACTTGAAACACATAGTAGAAGCTTTTAAAACATTCTTGGCAAGAGTCTGAACAGTAACAACTTATTTTGACTAACAGTGCAATTATTCCTACAGTTTCAGCTGTCAAAATTGTGGATTTAATTACAGGAATTGGAATGACAGTGCTCGTTGCAAGAAAGTAAACATGTCTGAGTTCTAATAAAGGCTTCTTTTGAAACCCATCACAGAGAGCACACAGAAATTCTGTGGCAGGTTATCTGCAGCCTGTTCCAGAAAATCTCTGCCTGCCAAGTTTGGGTTGGAAGGAGCGAAGTCATGACCAATTATTAGAATGTTTTTAATTGGTCTGCAGAAGAAAACAATACCAAACCCCAAACACACACCCCACCGGCCCCCGAGCTTCTGGGGGCTCTGGAAGTGGCTGGGCTGGAGCACACACGAAGCTGTATGTAGGACACACAGCACCAGGGATGGCCTGAGACTCGGCTTAAACCTCAGCTCCCACAGTACCTCAGCCTTCTGAATCTGTCAGTATTTCCTTGGCTTGAATCTATTCCCAGGCTTCCACAAACCAGGATTGTTCTGTTGGGTTTTGCCTGTTAGAGATGGGGAAATTTTCTGCACTGCTGTCTGCTGTTTGGGTGAGGATGGTTTTTCAGCCTTTGGGTCTTGTGTCCCTTTCTCTTCCCTTGGGTGAGAGATACTCGGATGGAATTGCCTAGGAATGCTTGCTTGTTTTAATCAGCTGTCATCGTGATGGGGAAAGAAAATCGGGATGTGGGTTTTTTCCGGTTAGGATGGAGATGAAATGACTGATTAGTACTGTTTTAATTGTGATGCCAGTACCCGGGTGAGCAGTGGTCTTTGTGTTGCCTTGTTTTACTCTCAGTCCTTGTGGTTGTTTTCTGTATAGTGCATTTTAAGTTCTCTTCATAGAAACACTTCTTAGAACAGCAACCAATTTCATAGGTAGAACCTAATTTTCTATAGTTTTGTGTCAGTTACTTATTTGTACTGTTTTGTGTTTACTTAAGCAGACTTCATAGTAACGGGATTGTATATAAAATGTGATTAGTATTGAGAGGATCCTGTTCTTTCTCCAGTAATTAGATACTGAGGAGTCTCTTTGTGAAGTAAAATGACTCAGGAGAAACTCAACATAAACTGTTAAGCATAGACCAGGGAAGTCTGTATGTATGTGCAGTAATTAAGAATATCTTATCAAAAACCAGTGTGCAAGTGCCTGTGCCAAGGGATTTCAGCACAGCCAGGTATAGGGACTCCCAGGTGATTATTCCCAGCTCCAGTTTAGACTCTGTGCGTGACCACGAGTAAATAAATCACTCTTTGCCTCGGTCTTTTCATCTTTAAAATATTGATACCTCCCCATGCCTTCAGGAGGCCGGGAGGATGTGCCAGTTAATATTGATGTGCTCTTTTGTAGGTCTGAAGTGCTCTGTTAAATAATTGAGGGGAAGGCAGCCCTGGTTTTATTTTTTTTTTTTTTCTTCTCTGGGATGTTTGGATGCCCCTGGCCCAGATTCACGGCCAACGGAACTTATTTATTTGTTCAAAAGATATTAAAAGCCATCAGTGCAACGTTGGCTGTACTGAAGTGAGTTTGCTGAAAAGTACAGCCACTGAAAACACCCTTTGTGAGGAGAGGAAACATAGGAGTAGTTGGATCTCGAAATAAAGACTGATGGCAAAGGCTGTGCTGCAGTCCCTGTAGCTGTAGAGGCAACGGGGAGAAATCCGTGCTGGAATCTGCCACAGGAGGTCATCGTGTCCCTGGGTCTCTCTCTCTGGGCTGGCTGCGAGAGGAGCATTAGGGCTTTAACGGTGAATGGCTGTGGAAAAGGTAAAGAAGGAAGAGGTCACTTCCTCTCCGGGCCAGAGCAAAGACATGAAACTGATGAATAAATACTCTACTGAACGAGATAAATCTTGCTGTGGGGAGGGAGGGAGGGGAATAAAGCAAACCCCGCTGGATTAAGTGAACGACTAGAAAAGGCTGAGTTAATGGGAGGGGTTTGGTCAGCAGAAGGTTTTCCGTGCAGCCACCAGCTGTTTGTGTGCTGTGAGTGAATATTAGCGCGTGGATAACACTAATCCCGGGGTGTCTGAGCCGTGGCAGCCTTTAGCTCTGAGCTATCCGGCCCAGACACAGCCCTGAGCAGTGCTGGGAAGGAAAGCACTGAGCAGTTCTGCTGCATGAGGCCCTGCAGAGTACTGCATGTGCCAAATGAACCTGAACTGGGGATGCTGGTTCAAATGCACTAGTGACGAGGAGTGTGGATTCCACACCGGGAGTAAGCAGTGAAGGGATTTTTTTTATTTTCCCTTAGGTTGGTGTAATGTAATGCTCAGAGCCCAAACTGGAGGCTGTGGTGTGCAGGTGACTTTTGTTCTTGGGTCCAAGTTTTGCTCCATGGTATAGGGAACACGAGAGCAGTGTAAATAAGAACGTGGTGCGTGGTAAATGAGAGTGCAGGCTATATTACCTGTTCACTGGATTTCTGCTGACTGCTCTTCCCAATACCCTGGGCAGGCTGAACGTTCCATATACGTATCTCCAGGATGTCAAGGTTGTGCAGCTTGCACCACGGGTGTTTGCTGGCTCATAGTACTGACTGGCTCGGAAAAAGGCAGTTGGTTCCTGAGGGTTATTTACAAAGATGATGCCGCTGCAGCTCTTTCAGAGGACGTGCTGTGCTTTCTCCTGTCCTGCATTTTGTGCTTCTCTCTCTGATTTCCTTCTGAGCTGTCGTGACTTGTCTTTTAGTAGCTGCTAAAACCAGGACCTTGTACAAGTCCTAACAGACGTGTTAAAGCCAGTGTTTAACTTGGATGCAGCCTCCTTGAGGATGTGGCTTCTGCCCTGTTCTACTTGGGTGTCTTAGGTGTTATAGTCCTCTTTTCCAAGCAGTTCGGCCGAGTTAGCCCACCTGATTGCTGTGGCTCTTCCTAACTCCTCCCGTTTTCAGCGCTGTCCATGGATGTGGGCTGACGATGTGCCCTTTTTGTCACAATTCCCCCCCAGATTTGCCTCCTCTGGTTTGTTAAAACGATGGCTTGTTGCTCCCTGCTGAGCCTCCCCTGCACCTGTGGCACGTGTGGCGTTGTCCTCGCTGTGGCTCGTGGCCTTTACCCCAACCCCTCAGCCCAGCACAGCGGCCTCAGGTCATTGACTGGCCTTGTTGGTCAGTCACCTGTGTCCTGTCCGAGCTGCGCCTCGTGAGGAGAACGCCCACACTCACAGAAAGCAGGACCTGACTCCTTAGGTGTCGTCCCTGAGCTGCAACGCTGCTGCTTTCCTCAGGCTTTCCTGCAATGGTCCAGCACAGTCGGGTAGGTGTGCCAGGTGCGCTGGTCCTTGCCAAAGTTTCTGTCTGTTGGGACATGGGAATATAGCTCAGTTTTGTGGAACTGAGCAGTTTTGGGTCTTGGAGAGTGAACTGAGGTTCCTTGAGGCTGAGAGCTCTCCTTTCCTCAGGTACTCTCCAT